AAATAAAAGTGGTATAACTAATAAGCTAATAGTTCAGATAAAATATAATAAAAATAGTCAATTAATAAAAGAAAGGCCAGGAAAAGAAGAAGGAACAAAGGACACATAGAACAAAAACAAAATAAATACTAAAATGGTAGATTTAATCCCAACCAGAATTATAATTATACTGAATATAAATAATGTAAACATTCCCTTTAAAAGACAGACATTATCAGATTGGATTAAAACAGTAAGACCCTATTATATGCTATCTATAAAATCCACATTAAATATCAAGCTATTTATAGGTTAAAAATAAAAGAATAAAAAATTTATACCATATATATTAGTTTCCCAGTGTTGCTGTAATTTGTACCACAAACTGGGTAGTTTATAATAACAGAAATGTATTCTCTCGCAGTTCTGGAAGCTAGACATCTGGAATCAAGGTGTCAGCAGGCTTGTTTCTTCTTGATATTCTGAGGGAGACTCCATTTCATGCCTCTCTCCTAGCTTCTGGTGGTTGCCAGCAATCCCCGATATTTCTTGGCTTGTAGATCCATCGCCCCCATCTCTGTGTCCATCTTCACAGGGCATTCTCCTCTTTGTGTTTTTGTGTGTCCAAATTTCCCTGCTCTCACAGGACATTAGTCATTGGATTAGAGCCCACTCTAATCTGATATCATCTCACTTCAACTTGATCACATCTGCAAAGACCCTCTTTCCAAATAAGGACACATTCACAAGTGCCAGGACTTAGGACTTGGACTTGTCTTTCTAGTGGACACAATTCAACCACAACACCAGGCAAATACTAATTAAAAGAAAGCTGGAGGTTAGCTGTACTAGCAGTAGACACTACAACAGGGGACATCACCAGGAATAAAAAGGAATATTTAAAATGCTAAGGCAGCCGATTCATCAAAAAGACAAAGCAACCCTAAATGTGTATGCACCTGTTATAGAACTTCAAAGAACATGAAAAAAGTGATAAAACTGAAAGTAGAAATACACAAATCCATCATTAGAACCGGCGATTCCAACATTGCTCTCTCAGCAAACTGACAGAACAAGTGGACAGAAAATCAGTAAGGTTTTAGAAGACTTGAACAAAGCTCTCAACCCACTTGACCCAAGTGACATTTATTGAACACTTCACCCAACAGCAGCAGCACATTTGTCAAGTGTACAAGGAACGTGCACCCAGGTAGATCACACTCTTAGCCATGAAACAAATCTCAATACATTTTAAAAAGGATTGAAATCATACAAAGGTATGTTTCAGTCACAACAGACTTCAACTAGAAAGCAATTTTGGAAACATGTCTGGAAAATCCTCAAACATTTGGAAATTAATAACACATTTCTAAATAATCCATGGGTCTGATAAAAAATCATAATGGAAGTTAGAAAACACTTACAACAGAAAATACAACGTATTATAATTTGTGGGATGTAACTAAAGTAGCATGTAGAGGGAAATTTACAGCCTTAATCTCAGGTGGTGTCATTCTGCTCCCTCCATCACACAGTTCCCTATCAACCTCTCATCCACCGGTTGCAGGACCATTGCTTAGATCTTTATTTCACAAGGGTTGCAGAATGCTGCCTCTCCAATTTTATTGATCCTTCTGCATGTATTAGCTAGAATTCTTCAATAAAGAAGGACAATCCCTAATCAACTATTTGGTTACCTTAAAATATAAGGTAAAATAAGAGAGGCAAGATTACTTATTTTTTGCTAGAGTCTTTCGTCTTTACAACAATGAGATAATGTCCCAGCAAGAGTCACCTGTGATGAATGTTTTTTTTTTTTAACAGCATTATGAACTAATAGATTTAAACATACTTTATTTATGTCAATCATATGCAGTTTTTTATTCTTTTTGAGGCTCAAATTGTTCCAGTGGGGGGCCTCTTAAAGCTGGCTCCTGAGTCCTTCCCCCTCAACAATTTATTATAAAAATTTTCAAACATACACAAAAGTTGAGAGAATTTTACAGTGAAGAGTAAATCTACCACCTAGAATCTATAATTAACATTTTTTTTGACCAACACTACCAATACTACTTACCTTCATCAAACACTTTTTTCAGTTCAGCGTGTATCCTTCTAGGCCTTTTTCTATGTATTTTACCTACGGTATTAGTTAGCTCAGGCTGCCGTAAAAAAAATACCACAGACCGGGCAGCTTAAACAACAGAAATTTATCTCTCACAGTTCTGGAGGCTGGGAGTTTGAGATCAAGGTGTTGGCAGGTTTGGTTTCTCCTGAGGCCTCTCTCAAGACACGGGCTGGCGCTGCCTCCATCTGAAGGCTTGACTGGGGCTGGAGGATCCATTTCCATTTCATATGTCTGGCAGCTCGGTGCTGATGCTGTCTGGGGAGCTCAGTTCCTCCACACTGGGGCGCCTCCACACACTGCATGAGTGTCCTCAGGACAAGGTGGCCAGCTTCTTTCAGACCCAGTGATTCGAGAGAGAGTGAACCGGGAGCAAGCATATCATTTTTATTTTTTATTTTATTTTATTTTTTTGTGAGGAAGATCAGCCCTGAGCTAACATCTGATGCCAATCCTCCTCTTTTTTCTGAGGAAGACTGGCCCTGAGCTAACATCTGTGCCCATGTTCCTCTACTTTATATGGGACGCCGCCACAGCATGGCTCAACAAGCAGTGCGTCGGTGCACGCCTGGGATCCGAGCCGGCAAACCCCGGGCCGCCGCAGCGGAGCACGCGCACCGAACTGCTTGCGCCACCGGGCCGGCCCCAAGCATATCATTTTTAGGACCTGGACTTGGAAGGTACACAGCATCACTTCTGCCACAAGCTATTCATGAGAAGCCAGTGACTAAGTCCACCCACACTTCAGAGGAGCAGGGTTTGGCTTCCCCTTTTGAAAGAAAGTGTGTCAAAGAATTTATGAACCTATCACAGATGCACTTTTACACTCACATCTGTGATGCTTTGATTCCTGAATGTTGCTCCTGTTACACTGCAATTCTAAGACGGCAACAATCATACATGCTGTACTCACCACTGTATCCCCAATGCAGAGCACCTCCCACTTAGGCACTTATAATTTGAGTATCAATTACAGTGCTTCTCAGGCATTTGAGGATAGCGGAACTGCTGATCTTGGTCCTCTCCCTAGAACACTATGAGATATATTTTGAAAATGTACGTTTCTTTTTTTTGCATCATGAGCACAACACAATTTCACCTGCATTAAAGGATACAATTTTCCCCTCACTGGGAAATAGTAATGAGTGGCTACTCTATGCAACACATGCATGCCACAAAAGTCTTTCCTAAGAAACATGCAGCTGGCCAATGAAGGTCAACTATTTTCCAGCTTTTTTTTTTTTTTGTGAGGAAGATTGGCCCTGCTCTAACATCTGTGCCCATCTTCCTCTATTTTGTATATGGGACGCTGCCACAGCATGGGGCTTCATGAGAAGGGTGCAGGTCTGCACTCAGGATCTGAACCTGCAAACCCCAGGCTGCCGCAGGGAAGCGCCCGAACTTAACTACTATGCCACCAGGCCAGCCTCTGTTTTCCAGCTTTTCTGTGAATATTTGCTTCTTGTTCATTGATTTGTCACCTTTAGCACCTTCTAGAAGAGAAGGGGTAGCATAGCCCAATGATCTATGAAAACTGCAGATGCAACTAGAAATCAAGAGCATAACTTTGACTTCTAGGAGAAATCAGTTTGCCTTGGTGAAGGCGGTCCACAGGCCACGCACACAAAATGAGTTACCCCTCATTTTACAGATGGGATAACTGAGGCAGAGATGCCAGGAGACTTGCCCAAAGTTACATGGCTGAAAAGTAAGATGAGGAGGATTCACACCTAGTATTAGGCAACCTAAGAACCCTAGTTCTTTTTTTTTTCTCTCTTTCAATTGTGGTAAAATATACATGACATTAAACTTACCATGTTAGCCATTTTTCAGTGTGCAGTGCAGCAGCATTAAGCACATCCACACTGTTGTGCACCATCTCCACCATCCATCTCCAGAATTCGTTCATCTTCCCAAACTGAAACTCTGCACTCATTAAACACTAATTCCCCATTCCCCTCCCCCAGAACCACAACCACCGGCTGCCACCAAAATAAGAGCTACAAATACAGAACACCCTTTCCAGAGCGAAACCCACCCTCCAGGGCCGGCCCCGCCCCCGCGGCTGGCTCCGCCCCGCCCCCACGTGACCCGCGCTCGCTGCAGCGGAGGCCTCCGTGGGCCGAACCACGGCGACCATGAGAACGGGGAGAGGTGGAATTACAGCCGCCGCGGTGGGCTTGGGCGTAAGTGATTAAAGCAGCTCTCATTCATTTTCATATCGTGCCAGGCAATCGTCTTCCTAGTCGTGTTGTCCATCTCCGGCTCAACGGCCGAGAATTCCTTTTATATTTTGGAAGCGTCCATCCATGTGCCCACTCAGTGGACGAGTCTAAACACCGACACGTGAAGGGGGGACCTAGTAATGTAAGCTAAACTGATGAGAGGCTAAAGATATCACAATAAAAATAGTTGGTTGAACTTACAGTTTCTTGTAGTATTATTTTTTGAGTTACATATTTTCATGCAGTTCCCTATACCAAGATACCTTCTGCTCCCTCCCTGCGGCGTCACCAATAGTTAAGTCCTTCGCCGCAGCGCCCGACGGGAGAAGGAGGTGCCTGGCTGCCATGTTGGACGGAACCACTCGCTCCCACAAATGGGGGAGCTCGAGCTCCCCATGAGTTTGTAGTTACACCAGAGGCGCTTTGGTGATTGGAGTTTCGCACGTGCTTCTCACACGAGCGTTATCGTAATCACCAGTGGACACAATGCTGCCCTTTTGTTCCTCTGGCCACGCTGTCAGGAGTCAGGGCGTGGGCGGCCCACCCCCGCTCCGAGTCTGATGGAGCGCCCCGCGCACGCACATGGCCCGCGGTCGGCGCGCAGTGCGACCTGGGAGAGTCGGCAGCGCGGCGCGGCGCGGCGGGGCGAGGTGCGGTGGTAGCGGCGGGCCATGCAGGACGCGGAGAACGTGGCGGCGACCGAGGC